TGGAGGATGTGTGTGGACTTCACAAATCTGAACGCAAATCGCCCTAATAATGACTATCCACGATCACAGATGGATGCACTAGTGAACTCTGAAGTCAGACACTCTGTCATGAGTTTCTTGGATGCTTTCTCTGGATACCACTAGATCAAGATGCATCTGGTTGATGCTCAGAAGATAGCTTTTATTACTAGTGAAGAATTATTTTTTTTTATTGAAATTCTATTTAGGTTGAAAAATGTTGGCACTACTTACTAGCATCTTATGGATGTAAATTTTTTCAAGAAAAAAAGAAGAAATATTGAGGTATATGTTGATGAAATGCTAGTAAAAAGTTTGTCAGTCGAACAACATATAAATGATTTAAAAGAAACCTTTCAGACGCTTATGAAGTGTACTATCAAATTAAATCTGCTAAAATGAACATTTGGAGCTTCAACCAAGAAATTCTGAAGATACCTCTTGAAGATTGAAGGCATTAAAGCTCATCCTTAGAATGTAAAGGCACTTCTAGATATGTCTTCTCCCCAAAATTCCAAAGAAATACAGAAACTGAATGACCAAATGATGTCGCTCAACAGATTCACTTTCAAATCAGGCGATAAATGTGCATCCTTCGTGAAAGCATTAAAGAAAGGCAAGTGGTTTGAATGAATGAACAAATGTGAATAAACCTTCCAAAAATATGAAGCAGTTGCTAGTCAAGCCCCCACTATTAGAAATTCTAAAACCAAAAGAAGAACTTTTGCTGTATCTAGGAATCGGTTCAGAAGCCAATAGTTCGGTATTGGTTCAAGAGGAGCCAGGAAAGCAATTCATCATATATTACACTAGTCAGGTTCTCAGGGGAGTCGAAGTTAGATAACCTATTATGGAAAAACTAACATTTGCTTTAATTGTCTCTGTTCGCTCGCTCTGGTCATATTCCCAAACACACCCAATCAGAGTGCTTATTGATCATCCGCTCAAGCAAGTACTCATACTTTCGGAACACTTCGGTAGACTACTAAAGTGTGTATTGAAACTTAGCAAGTACGACATCAGTTACGTCCCTCGGAAAATGATAAAAGCTCAAGCTATAGCTGACTTCCTAATTGATTTCTTTGAACCTATCGAATTGAGTGAAGGATCCAAACAGATATATCTATAGGCTCACTACCATAAAATGGGGATGATCCTTGAGGAGGTGACAGATCCTCGGAGGTTCAAGTTCAAGGTCACCCAATATCTCCTCATTGAAGACACACTTTTTTAAGGGTCAACCACTTCATTGCTTAAGGTACGTGGAAGAAAATGAGCTGGAAGAGATCCACCAAGAAGTACATTCAGATGAATGTGAAAGTCACTCTGGCAAAAAGACCTTAGTTTATCGTGTCCAAAGGCAAGGCTATTTCTGGCTGACCCCTCTTGAAGGACATAAGAAAATTTTCTCTAAGCTGCAAACGGTATTAAAAATATGCTCCATTGTAGCTTCAACCGACACAAAAATTACAACTGATTGTAAGTCCCTGACCTATTGCTAATTTGGGGCTCGATATCCTTGGGCCATTTCCACCCTCGAAAGGATAGTGAAAGTTTCTTTCAGTCTCGTTGACTATTTTTTCAAATGGATCAAAGTAAAAGCTCTCGCCTGAATTACTACAGAGGTTGTACAGAATTTTATATGGGCCAATATTATCTGTCAGCACGGTTTACCTCTAATAGTCATAATAGACAACATAACATATTTCGCTGATTATATGGTAAGAGGTTTTTGTCAATGTCAAGGGATCAACCTCAAATTCTCATCCATGCATCACCAATGGACGAACGATCAAGTAGAGGCTGCAAACAAGATCATTTTAAATCTATTAAGGAAAAAAATGTTGAGGGTGTTAGGGGTTATTGGGCGGACTTGTCTGTCCGTTCTTTGGCCATCCAAACCAATCCTTCATCAGTGACCGATCAAACACCACACATGCTTTCTCATGGAATGGAAGCAATGTTATCGGTCAAATCCCATCATCATAGTTATAGGGTAGTCACTGCAACATCTTTCGATAAAGAAAGGCTCACTGGCTAGCAAGATGCAAATGAAGAAGGAGCTTCACTCGCTCTCAATCAGCTAGAAGAAGTTCAAACAAATGCATCACTCCTACAAAAAGAAATAAAGAGAAGAACTGCCCATCACTACAACAAGAATGTTTGAGAAAGGACATTCTCCCCAGACAAACCTAGTTATGAAGAGAGTCGATCCCGTCGCGAGAGGACGGTCAGTCAGCAAGCTCGATCAGGCCTGGACCATTCCCTTCATCATCGACTAGCGAGTCACTGCAGGTACTTACAAACTAAAATTCTGTACGAGAAGAAAGCTCCAATGAAAGTGGAGTGGAGACAATCTTAAATAATTTTTTCCTTGAAAAAAATTACTTTGTATCTTTGCTTGAGAAAGACAATCTTATTGTATTTTGAATAAATTTTTATCTTGTTCTCTTGTGAAAGAACTAACTGTGATTTTATAAACCCAGACATAAAATAACTCTCGGGGAACCACATGATCGATGGACCTCGCGTCACAACGAGAATAGTGGAACTGGATTACACAAAAAAAAAACGATCTCAAAAATTGACATGCTTATAATCAAAACAAGAGATTTAAAATTACTAATAAACGCAAAACACTGTCAGTGATTTATAGCCTAACTACGTATGTTGTAGCCTAACTAAACTTATTATAGTCAAACTACCACTATTGTAGCCTAACTATGGTTGTTGTAGCCCAAATATGACTCATATAGTTCAAACTAACCATATATAATTATATGAGTTATCTCGAAGAAGTTTAATTTTAACATAGTTGTATATTCTCATCTCCCCTAGTTAAGATGAAGAGCGGGCGTTTGCCCTTGCAATGTTTTCAACTAAAAAAAAATTGTTATCTCTTATGCTTATTTATATGGAGTAAAAAAACCCCACATTTAAAAATTTTTCAAATGAATTCTAAAATATGAAGGTACATATGAAGCAGCTTTCCACTTTGCAGTCTTAGGGTATGTTTGGGGCAGTGGTGTGACACCGCACCGCACTTTATGGAGTTTAGCAAAATTGCATTTTTCACGCTTTCTCAAAATGCTAAGGTGTTAAGTTATGTTTCACAATCTAACCTTACTAAGTGCAGTTCAAGCTGATTCGGGCCGATCTCGAGTCAGTTCAAGCCGATTCGTGTTTGGTTGAAAATTGACTCGAAAAAAATTTAATCCAATATTTTGACTCGTAGTCCAACTTAATTAAATATGATGTTGATATGAGAAAAAAATTCATATCAAAGATCGAAACAAAACAAGAAACTATCTTGGAGCTAAATTCACAGCGCTATTTGCATGATCGTGTCATAAATGAAGTTATAGAACTTCCAATGAGCTAACTCGCTGACATCATAATTATTTTTACAAGCACTTATATTTTAAACTTAAATAAATTCCGCATCTCTACGAACATAAATATTAAAATGA